GCGGCGGCTCTCTCGCTCAGAGCCGAATCTTTCGCGGTGACGCGTCCTAGCGCTTTATCGGCTAGTACCTTGTCCGCCGCGTGTCTATCGGTGAGGTCGTTGCTCCGAGAATACGCAATGTCGTGTTCTCGACACGCCGCGTCCAGTGGATTTATATCAGTATCACCTCTGGCTAATCGCTTCGTAAGTCAAGTGCCCGGACCGCAAAACTAGTAGCCCGGGATATGTAACTCGAAAGGAAGCGCGTTTATCGCTCTATTCAACAGGCTACGCCCGACGTTGACATTCGCTACAGTCCTTTATCTTCGGTGCTGGACCGTCAATGTGTGTCCGCTGCCACGGTTGATTGTAGTGCTCGTCGCAGCGACGATACGTTCGAACCTCCGAATCCGCCTTCACATGTTCCGGAAGCTTGTCCCACACACGGTCGATATAGTCACCGTACATTCGTAACAGTATGACCTTCGGTATATACCGCAACTACTCTGCGCTCAAATCCAGAATGTCGGAAGGATGATACAGCGAAAGATACATTTTATTACTGCGCGACTCGCAGATTCGCGCACCTTTAAATAGGTAGTCGAGAGCGCACAGCCCGTAGTGCGAGCATGAAATTCGTATTGCAACCGTTGGCGATACGCGTCAAGAACTGCGACGCGAAATCACGAATAATGGGAAGCGGCATGGAGAAGCGCAAGCACGGCAAAATGTTGCCGAGTACTATACGCGCGATCATTTGCGGCCCGTCGAATTGCGGTAAAACCAACGTTCTCGTAAACTTACTCGTGAGTCCGAACGGCGTACATTTCGAGAACGTATACGTCTACTCGAAATCGTTGCAACAGCCAAAGTATCAATATCTCGAAAATTTGTTTACATCTATCGACGAAATCTGTTACTTTACGTTCTCAACAGCGACATCTTTCCACCGAGCGAGGCGCGTCCGAATTCTATTTTTATCTTTGATGACGTAGCATGCGACAAGCAGGATGTAATGAGAAAATACTTTTCGATGGGCCGTCACGCGAACGTCGACTGCTTCTATCTCTGTCAGACGTACGCAAGGATACCTAAACATCTGATACGCGACAATGCGAATCTGCTGATCCTGTTCAAACAGGATGGTACCAACTTGTAACACGTTTATAACGATCATGTAAATACCGACATATCATACGACGAATTTTGCGCGTTGTGCCGCGACTGTTGGCAACAAAAATATGGATTCGTAGTGATGGACAAAGATAGTGCGCTCACAAATGGACGATACCGAAAAGGATTTAACGAGTTCGCGATACCGTAACGTGACCAGTCGTTGTCGATACTTCGTCACATTACTTAGATACACGGACGAACATGGCAGATGTGCGCAAGCGTGAAAAAATCGCGAGGGAGATCGAGAAGACGAGCGAGTCTATCCGCAAGAAACGTCGCGCTCTTAAGACCGGTAGAATCGAGGAAGACATCGCGTTAGATAGACATTTTAAACCTCTTATCGAGCCGCTGCGACTTTTTGTCGACAGCCCCGGCAAGCGCGCAACAAAGAGAGAGCCGCGCGACGAAGATGCAGCGTCCACCCCTAAACGTGAGAGGAAGGAGGAGCAACGAAAGGAGGAGCAACAAGAGGAGGGAGTGGCGAGCGAGACGTTCGAATATTTCGCGACCCCGCGTAAATTAGATGATCTATCGCACGATCGTGTACAGCCGGCAACCTCCACTCCACGTACAGCGATCATACCGACGATAGAATCGTTGAAGAACGTTTTCGAAACGACGGAAGACTCGTTACCAACGAAGGTTCAAAATCAGCTGCAAACGTCGGAAGGTCGAGAGACGTTGCGAGCCAGCTTGGGCCCGCTG